GAAAGGTTAAGGAGCAAATATGCTCTTATTAGCATTAAAACACATATATTTGTGTATTTTTCCTGTTTCATCTTAAAGAAAAATAAAAACTTTGAAGAAATGGACTGATTTTAATAAAAAGTACGATAAAACACCGAATATCTGACTAAACCAGAGGTTCTTAACCTTGGCTGCATTACAGTAATCAACTTGGCATGATGTGCCAAGGATGTTAATTACCTGAAAGCTTTAAAATTGATGCCTGAGCCTCATTAGCAAAGATTCTGATTTAACTGGAAAAGGGAATGGGAGAGAAAGAGTCTGGGTCTCAAGGTTTCTAAAAGCTTCCCAGGTGATTCTAATATGAAGCCAGTTGAGAACCACCATATATTACTGGTGCAGGAGCACGTGCAAACAAGGAATAGCAATATCCTTGTACAGTACTTTATATACCTAACCCATCTGTGGGTTCCTGTAGGTGACAAGGTGACTGCCTTGAGATTACAATGTAGTGTCTAGACAAGTAGCTGCAGGGTTCTACTGCTACCTACATATGTGAACTCAGAAACATCATTAATGTTCTCTGTAAGGTGTATAGTGACAGTATTTACTTTGTAGATTCTTAGAAACTTGAATATTCTTGGTCGAGTGTGAGTAAAATTAGCATAGACAAGGACTATTCCATCCCCACATCTGCCACCGGTTGATACCCTTAAGGAACATATAAGGGACAGAAGTAAAAAGAGGAATTTCAGAAATGCTATGATAGGGATCTCATCAGGGTATTCTCTTATTGGCTGGCTGCTTGTCAGTCCTAGAGCATATGGCCTGTCAGGTATAGGGGATGCCTGCAGGAGCAGGTTCATACATTACCTGATACTCCATAAAGCAAGTCTTCAATACATGCTTCCCAAGATCATCAGTCTGGAGAAGCTATGTGGCTTTTCTAAGATCACAGAAGTTGGTAAGGCAGCAGCTAGTGTTCAGTCTGAATTCTTTTGTTTTCTGCTATCCTGTTGTGCGAGGCTGTGAACTGAAGTTATAGATGCAGAGTCTGCTGCCACTTGAGCACTGTTTCTTACTTCCTGCCTGAAACTGTAGGTGTGAGTCAAAAGGTAGCCAAGTCCCATGAGCTCTTCCTTCTTTTCAGCCTTCTCTCCTCAGGTGCTCAGTGCCATTGGTTTCATTTCAGGTCCTGGTATAGGTTCCTACACTCACAACCCGGGGTAGCAGCAAGGCACTGCACACAGAGGCCTGCAATAGAAGCCAAACACTTGGGTTTAAGTTCTGGACCTTCGCAGACTTGGTTTCTCAGAGTGTGCTTCTTCTAGAAAATAAGGGGGCTGAGCAGATATGCTTCCCAGGCATGCTTCTCAAGCAGGAGTTTGTGGCAAAGTCACCCAAGGAGCTTAAAAATAAAAGATTCCCAGGACTCCTGTAAACTAATGAATCAGATGAATCAGACTGCCCTCTTCCAGGGATAGGGCTTAAGCATGTGGTTTAAACTTCTTCCCAAATGATATTGATGCCTCTCCCATCCCCCTTCCACCCGGCCCACTCCCTCACAGTAAGAATGTCTGGATTAGGTGATCTCTAGCTGTTTTCACTCCAAGGATGAATCCTGGAAATTGCAGTTGGCTGGATTTGCATATGCGAACAAAGAAAATGCAGTAGACTACAGAGAGTTTGAGAACAAGACTGGAAAAATCCTTTTTGGTGAAGACTTTGTTTATCATAATCAACAGCATAGGCCTGGGCCATAGAAGATACTCAATAATCTACATGACTGAAAGGAAGAGTGAATGAGTGAATGAATGGCAGCTTTCACTTGATAATAAAAGATGTTCTTTCTCTTGCACAAAACCTGACCCAGATCTCCCTACTTAAAGGCAAACAGACCTGGAAAGATAGAAGTGGTTTTTTTTTTTAATTGCCATTATTAGATTTAAAAAATATGTATCAGTTTGGCATATCAAGAAGTCCCATCAATTAAAGTACAAAAGGAACTTCGAAGTTCATGGAAAATAATGGAATTAAGTATGAGTTTATTCTGGTGCAAAAAAGCTCCCTGAATACCCATGCGTTATTTTTTTCTACATGCACATCCTGTGAACTTTTTGAAGATCCCTTATAACACTTTTCTTCATCTGCTCTTTTCAAATTGCACTTGCAAAGACATCATAACAAAACTAGGTATCTACAAAAGTGTTACTTTTTTTCAAGGCTTAGACGCCAAAGGCAAAAATAAATAAATAAAGCAATGCACTTAAAGATAATATCAGTACCATTCAATTTAAAAAACCAAAAACTCTATTTGTATTCTACTCAAAGAGAATTGGTTTCTAAACAGTATTTTCTGGGCTTCCAGAACCCTTGGCCATTATCTCCTCATGTGTATCCACATAACAGGCTGGGCTGAACTTTGCATTTGTGAGTCATAGAGAGACAGAGAGAAAGAGATACATTACAATTCTCTCTCTCTGCTCTCTACAGGAAAGCAATGCAAGCTTCTGGAGACTAAGCGCTCTCAACCTTGGGGATTTCATTTCTAAACTAATAGGATAATGATATTTTCAGGATTCTAAGATGATTACTGTTCAACGATGTAGGCTTCTATTTCTCATGACAAAGTATTTAGTATTTCACTTTAAAAAAATGTTGATAAACTGTTGATTATTCCAGTTTTTCAAGTCAGTATGTAAATTAAATACTAAACATACAAATTGGGAGGGCTTCAAAAAGTTCACGGAGAAATGAATTAAAGTTTTTGCACTAGGTTTGGTGCAAAAAGTAACTGAAATCCATTCAGTTTTTCCATAATCATTTTTCATTAACTTTTTGAGGGCCCTTCCTATACAGGGTTGTTTTTTTTCCCTATTCTGTCCTTTGGTTTTCCTTTCTCTGATTAAGAAACTCATTATTGTGCACTATGCGTTTTCTCTGGCCTCAAGTGCCCCAAACCCAGGCGACAAGAAAAAGAGACAGGCTGGATGGGGAGGTTCCACAAAGAGTGACATCAACATTTGGAACAATTCAAACCTTCAACACCACTCCCCAACCAGCCCCGCCCCCGCCCCTTCTCTTAGCAAAAGATGCACAGGCCCTCAATGGACAAGCCCGTCCCTAGGCACTCTCTCAAATACTCCGAAGGAAAGACAATGCCAGTCTGGTTTTCAAGTTTATTGTCATGCTCCCATGGACGGTGCACACTATCCAAGGAGACCGCATCTTAACAGTGTGGTGCCAGGAAGGGAAGGCACGGGTTACAGGGGAGAGTACACCGTCGTTTCCCGCGGACATCCGGGTCCCATCGAGGGATCGCCGCGGGTTCCTTCTAACTAAAGAAAACCAAAAAACGTCAACGCTTACCTCCGAGGCCCGCAGGAGGCTTTAAAAATGGCCTCCTTACGACACTTCCTGCTCGGGCCAACCGGTAGAAATTCTTGGAGATGCATCTTTTAAAACGCTGGGGGCGCGGGGCGGAGGGCCCGGCGGCAGCGCGCAGGGCACAGGGCACAGGCGGCCGCGCCAGGCCCGCAGCGCCGCGCCAGCTCCAGCTCCAGCTCCAGGCCCCCTGCCCAGCCCGCAGGCCCGGAGGCCTGCCTTCTCTTCCCCGACCCGTCAGCAACGGTGGCTGCGGGACACTCCCTGGCCTCCCCGTCACGACGCCCGCAGACGGCCTGGGCACGCGAGGCCGCGGGCTCCTAACCCGGCCCGGTGCCCGCCCCGGCCCGTCGGGCGCCGCCCTGTGCGGCTCTGCGTCCCCCGTGGCTTTTGTCCCGCACGTGAGACCTGGAGGCTTCCGCCCCGCTCCCCACCACTCACCCGCTGGCGGCTGGAGTCGCAGCCCTAGCGAAGAGGGGTCTACACCGCCGACCGCAGACTGCCGCCGCCGCGCCCGCTGTAGGTCCCTACCCGGGGGGCGGAGCCCGGCTGGCTGCGCGTGCGCACTGAGGTGCGGCGCCGTGGCGACCTCAACCCCGGCGCCTGAGTTCTTAGGGCTTTGCCGGCTCCCAACCATAGGTCTGCCCTACCCAGACCAACAGCTTGAGATCCAGCAAGGGCTGCTTCTGGACTGAGCGCTCGACCGAACGCACTTGCACCCACAGAGTGGTGCTGGCACCTACACTGGGTACTGCAGGCTCAGGAGTCGCCTCTGAGAAAGGAGAATGAAGCGTACAGTCCCTACCCCATCCTGGGTCCTGAGGAGATACTTATGCCTGTCCACCTGGAGTTTTCCATCTTGCAGTGGGTGAGTGAGAGCAAGCAAAAAAGAGCTCAGGCCCTCAGCTTCCAAATTTTTCCTCTTTTGAAAGGAGCAGCAAAGCAGATGGCCTTAAAGTCCTGGATTGGGTTCCAACTCTCTGGACTCCTTTATATCTATCGTAGCTGTGGGACCTTGTGCCAGGAAGTCCCATGACATCTTGTCTGGAGATGGTGCGAGCGCTTTTAATGCCAGCATTTCCCCCTGGCTCCTGGACTGCAGTATTTGGGAGAACAAGCCACTTTCCACATACATACCCGCCTACGACCTTTCAGAAGGAAGATGCATCTAGAATAGACTTGCTCTGTGGAAAGAAGGGACTGTATTGCTAGCACTGCCTTGATAATCCTTGACTTGAATGTTGCTTCCCAGCAACTGCGGGTTGTATAGCAGGGGAGCAGCGTCACTGAGAGGCGCAGTTTCTTCAAGAGTAACAGCTGAAAGTTCACTACAAAGCTCTGCAAAGGGAAGGGGCAAGGCTGGTTTCATGAACATGAGGGGGTAGAGTAGGGGGTACTGCTCTGAGGAGCTGTAGGGCTGGTGGGCTCTGGTGCTTAGATGCAGAGTGCAGGAAGACCATCAGCCATAAGACCATCAGCAGGGATAACTTCCCACCACTAAAACAGTGGGAGGGGGGCAGAGACCATGGGCTAGTGGGCAAGTCCTTCCCCTGCCCTCAGCTGCAGTACTCCTGCCCTTCCTGGCCAAGAGCTAAGTGGGCTGTTGGTCCTCTACTTCCTAGATCTCAGAGAAGCTAAAGGACTTCTCAGAAAAACACATTTGTGGGACCAGCAGATGGCATAATGGTTATGTTGCTAGACTCCCACGTAGTTGACCTGGTTTGAGTCTTGCACCTGGAGGCTTAAAACTCAAACTGAGCACATGTATGTGTGCGCCTAAAATCTTGAGAGGAGAGTGGAGAAGAAGGGATTGTGGCATGGCCATCCCCCCAGGGAGTGACTTCTTGCTTTCTGTCTCTCTGTCGAGCGCATGAAACCTATACCAAAAATATCTCTTCAAAACAAAAAAAGAAAAACACATTTACCGGGGGAGTCTTCAAAAAGTTTGTGCTTTATGAAAAAACTATGCATGGGTTTCAAGAAATTTTCAGACCAAAATAGTACTTTAATTCCATTTTTCCATGAACTTTCTGATCTCATAGGTGAAGCATGTTCACGTCAGAGAAAACATGCCAGTTCAACATTTCTCTCAAGAATGGAGTATGGGGAGGGGGGAACCAGCAGTTAGCGTAATGGCTATGTCGCTGGACTCCCACGTAGTCGACCGCAGTTCGTGTCCCGGACCCGGTGGCTTAAAACTCACGCCGGGCGCGTGTGCGTGCGTGCCCAAGATCCCGAGAGGAGAATGGAGGAGAAGGGATTGCGGCGTGACCATCCCCCCTGGGGGGTGATTTCTCGCTTTCTGTCTCTATGTCTCTCTCTGTCTGTCTGGCGAGCGCACGCGCCCTACAGTGAAAATCTCTCCAAAAAAAAAAAAAAGAATGGTGTATGGGGGACCAGCAGCTGGAGTAATGGCTATGCTGCTGAATTCCCATGTAGTCGACTGCGGTTTGAGTCCCAGACCCGGTGGCTTAAACTCATGCCGGGCGTGTGTACGTGTGTGCCCGAGATCCTGAGAGGAGAATGGAGGAGAGGGGATTGCAGTGTGGCCATCCCCCTGGGGAGAGAAGTGATTTCTTTGTCTCTTTCTGTCTTTCTTGTGAGCGCACATGCCCCATAGCAAAAACCTCTCCAAAAAACAAAAGAATGGAGTGAGGTTGGGAATGGTATTGAGAATCTAAACCAGCCACTTCCTGAACATTTCTAATGGCAAAAGAAACCAAATCAGAAAATAGTGGTAATTCAAAGAAATGGAGTCAGAAGTCAAAGTATTAGAGAACTCCCCCTCCATTTTAGTCCAAATTGTTGCCTACCCTTGTAACTTCTATTCCTATGTCACAATTCTCTCCTAAGTCACAAAGAATTAACTTCCTGGGTCTCCTGGAAGTTTCTCTGGAGTGACGGTTATAAATCCAACCTGGGGCAAAAGCCTGCTCCCTAATCTATCTGCACCTCAGTTTCTAAAGTAAAACTCAGAGAACAATAGGGCCTTCCTTACAGGCAAGTTGTCAACATTAAACAAGAGAAAGCAGAGCAAGTCTTACCACACAGTTCCTGGCAGATAGGAAGTGACCCGTAAGTTATGCTTCTCAGGAGACCAAGTCCGTTGAGATAAAATGTTTTATGGAGGGTCTGGAATGAGATGTTTACAGTTAGGAAAAGGGCTAAGCAGAGATAGAAACCATCCCTGCAGAACCCCTTAACGTAGAAGTGTTGTCCTGCTGAGGGGAGAGTTCACCCAGAAATGTGAGCCATTGCATACCTGCTATATTTACAGCAGCGTCTGGCTCAGGTCTTCTCCACCTCTCAGCTCTGTTTACCTAAATTCTTTAGTGTTTCACGATCGTGTCTGCTATGGATTGAATTATTTTCCCCCAAATCATAGGTTGAAGCCCTAACACCCTATACCTATGAACACGACCCTGTTTGGAAACAGGATCTTTGCAGATGTAATCGAGTTAAGATGAGGTCATTAGGAGGTGCTTTTATCTAGTATTATTGGCGTCTTTATAAGAAGGGGAAAAGATGCAGAACACCATATGAAGACAGAAGCACACTGGGAAAAGGCTGCCATTACAGGCAGAGGCAGAAATTGGAGTTCTAGAGTCATAAGCCAAGGGCTATCAGATAGCGAGAAAAGGCAAGGAAGGATGCTCTCTTAGGGTTTCAGGAGCACGACTCTGCTGACACCTTAAGTTCACACTTCAGCTTCCAGAACTATGAGAGACAATAAATTATTGTTACAGCAGCCCTAAGAGACTAATACAGCCTTGTCGTTATAACTGCCTAAGATGTAGAAAAGTGGTCGTGAGTGAAATCAGTCCTTGAGTTTAAGAGCTGGAAGCTCTTAGTCACTCAACATTGACCCGGTGCCTATTTAGTGCAGGCTAGGCCTGAGAAGAAAGTGAAGAACAAGAGGAAGCTCTGTCCTCAGGGAGCACTTGTTGTGTGGGGAGCTGTAGACAACATGTGAAGGAATATGTAAATTAATAGTAGGAAGTGCTAGATGCCGGAGTGAACATGAAACACCCACATTTCTAACACACAGATCATGAACCTTGCATCAGTGTCCTATGGCACTAGTGTTCAGTGTAAATCTCAGACATTTTGAGACTTTGTGCATAACAGGAGACCCAAGAAAGTAGCCTCGGGAACCAGCAGTTAGCATAATGGCTATGTCGCTGGACTCCCACGTAGTCGACCGCAGTTCGTGTCCCGGACCCGGTGGCTTAAAACTCACGCCAGGCGCGTGTGCGTGCGTGCCCAAGATCCCAAGAGGAGAATGGAGGAGAAGGGATTGCGGCGTGGCCATCCTCCCTGGGGGGTGATTTCTCGCTTTCTGTCTCTATGTCTCTCTCTGTCTGTCTGGCGAGTGCACGCGCCCTACAGTGAAAATCTCTCTCTCAAAAAAAAAAAAAAAAAAAAAAGAAAGTAGCCTCATTCCTCTTTTAAACATTTCAGAAATTTCTAGTTACTTCCTTGAACCTTAATTTGTTCATAAAGTCCTCTTCACCCATGATTCCCAAGCTCTTACAGTCCCAGTAGTCAAGCTTAGCTGTCCTTGGAGTCCTGGGACACAAGGCGTGGAGCATGCAGGGTCTAAATTTCCATCTTATTACCCTTCTTTCTCAGCTGTGTGACTTTGGGCAAGTTACTACCGGTCTCTGA